TGAGCAGTGCGGCCCTTGTGGGTGGAGCCTCTGCTGGGTCTGTGCTCCCAGGGGCAGGGTGTCTCTGTGAGTGGCTCAGAGGGTCTTTCCTCCCCTGCAGACTCCTTCCCCCTTTCTCCTCAGTGAGAATCCCGACTTGCAGCCATCTCAGCCTTAGTGCTGGCCCTAGTTCTGTGCTCTGAGGATCATGATTACGGTCCAGATATGGTCAATACCTTCCGGACCTCAGGGGGTATTGCCTGAGCCAGCAGGTGGCCTTGGAGGGTGGGGGACCACAAGGAAGAGCCTGTGCCCACGGTGCTGGGATACGCGACCCAACCCTGGGTGGAGAGAGGGAGGGTACAGAGGACAGGATCAGCAGAACGGCGTTGGTGGGCAGCCAGTGAAGGTGCCCTGGGCAGGAGGCAGGGCCCAGGCGTGTGGTCTCAATGGCATCAGAGACAGGGTGTGCCACCTGGGCAGAGGGTACCACCTCTTTGGGCTTCAGCTTCCTCATCAATAAAATAAGTCTTCTACAACTGGATGGCTTCTCTAGTCTGATGGAGTTGGGAGGTGGAAGTTACAGGGACTTGGGGGAGGCCCTGGGGAACAACAGAGAAGGGGAACTGCCTTCCTCACCCAGAACCAGGCTGTTGCAGCTCTGCTGCCCCTTAGTGGTGACACAGAGAAACAGACACAGTCTCAGGGGCATGGTAAGCTGATCCTCCTCTGTCTCCCCTGCTTCCTTTCGGCTTCTCTCCAGGACAGAGGCAGGCACTCTTAGGGTGTCTTTACCACCCACTGGCTCCCTCAGGGCTGTATGCATTCTAGGTGGACAGAAAGGCAGTCCCAGCCTATGCACAGGTTACCCACAGCTATGCACAGGATGGCAAGCACAATTCACGCACAACGTCTTCATTCTGTAAGTGCTGATGGAGGTTCTTTAGTATGCAGGGGCATTGTGCCAGGCACTGGGGATCCAGAGGCACTTGGCACGTCATTCTTGCCCTCAGAGAGCCTCTGTCCAATGGAGAGCAGACAGGCCAACCACAGACTCTGAGAAAAGTGGGAGACTGTGGGGGCTGCTCAGAGGTGTGATGTCTTGTGTGAATAACACTGGGAAACACACGGCCAGCAGCTGAGGGTCCCCTCTATGACTGTTGGTTTGTCCTGGGCACGTACCCCTCCAGCCTGACAGACCAGGAGGCCTTTGCCCTAGGTTAGGTGCGTGTGTCCCTGCAGGCCCCTGCAGAAGAGCTGAGTGGCCATTCCCATAGGTGATGAGCCTGTGCCCATGCCTCTATTCCCCTGCTGCCCTTCTGCCTGCACCTTGGCTGGGAATCGGGGAGAGGGATACACAGAACTTGCCTCGTCCCTGTAGCTTCCCCCATCTACGCGCCTCCTCTGCACACCTGGTCCGGGCCTGAGTTCCGAAGAGGGTGGAGAGCATTAGTTCTCCCTCCCCAGCCAGTTCTCAGTGGGCCTCCCAGCTCCAACAATACAGTGCAGGGCAGGCGGAGGGAAGCTTGAGGCTGCTTGAGGCTTCTGAAGCCTCCTGAGACTGGCCTGGAACTCAGTCGACTGTGTGGGGCAGGACACAGAAGGGGTGGGAGAAGGAGAGAGAATGTGTGTGCGTTTGTGTGTGCGAGAGGCCTGGGAAGCAGAGCCTGGGTGCGTCATGGTTGCTGGGAGAGTTGACGAGTCTGACTCAGTGGGGACATCCGGCAGGAAAGGAAGGGAGAGCACAGTGGCATTTGCAAGCAGGATGGGAACTCTGGGTTGGTGGAGATGGGGTATGGGGCCAGGGGTGCCATGCGAAGGCCTGGACAGGAAGGGGCTGAGCCTGCCGAGGCGGGGGAAGGGGGGATGGGGGGGGAGTGGGAGGGAAAGGCAGTTCTGGAGGGGTGGAGGTTGGACCTCTGGCTGCCTGGGTGGGTCTGGGAGGAGAAAGAAGCCAGCAGGGGTTCCTGCTCTGAAGACAGAAGGGACAAGTTGTGGCATTCGGGAAACTGGCCTGGTTAATCAGGGGTGTGGGGAATGCAGGGGCTTCTGATTCTCACCTGAGGGGCTGGAGGTCAGGGCCTTGGTGCTGTGGAAACAGACTCCATGAATTCCCACTCCAGAGAGACCACCCTCCTCTCAGCACCCCCAAGCCTTGAGTCCCAGAGGCTCTAGGGTGGCCCTGCCAGGCAGCTTGTCCCCCTGGGCACGGATACCAGCCTCAGCTGTATGAGGAAGATATGCGGAGGAACTCTCCTGAGAAGGGCTGATTACTTTGCTGGGTTCAGAGAGGCTGAAAAAGCCAGTCTTGGAGAGCAAGGCCAGGAAGGGCCTAGACTTAGGGCCCGAGGGAGGAAGGCTATTGACCAGCTCTGAGCTGTCACGGCAAGGGCCCTGGAGGAAGGCCTGGCTTGTCATACCAAAGGGCGAGAGATGCAAACAACTGAGCCCCCTGGGAGTGGTTGTGCTTTAAAACATAATCATTTGCCTCCTAATGCCAGGGCTGTGTTCTGAGAAACATGTTAGGTGATTTTGTCATCGTGCGAATACCACAGAGTGCACTGCCACAAACCTAGACGGCATAGCCTGCTACACACCCAGGCTAGATGGTGTAGCCATTGCTCCTAGGCTGCAAACCTGTACAGCAGGTTACTGTACTGCATACTGTAGGCAGCTGTATCACAGTGCTAAGTGTTTACATATCTAAACACAGAAAAGGTATAATAAAGATATGGGGGAAAAGACTGAAAACAGCACACCTGTATAGGGCACTTGCCATGAGTGGAGCCTTCAGGACTGGAAGTTGCTCTGGTGAATCACTGAGTGAGTGGTGAGTGAATCTGAGGCCTAGGACATTACCGTCTGCTACTCTAGGCTTTATAAACACTGTACACTTGGGTTAGACTGAATTTTTAAGAATGGTTTTTTGGTCAGGCACGGTGGCTCATGCCTGTTATCCTAGCACGTTGAGAGGCCAAGGCAGGAGGATCACTTGAGTCCAGGTGTTCAAGACCAGCCTGTGCAACATAGCAAGACCCTCTCTACAAAAATTTAAAAAATTAGCTGGACATGATGGCATGAGTATGTAGTCCAAGCTACTCAGGAGGCTGAGGCAGGAAGATCCCTTGAGTCCAGGAGGCTGAGGCTGCAGTGAGCTCTGATCATGTCACTGCTCTCTGGCCTGGGTGACAGAGTGAGATCCTGTCTCAAAAAATGAAAAATTAAAAAAAAAATTCTTTCTTCAGTAACGTTAATCTTAGCTTATTGTAACTTTTATAGTTTATAAACCTTTTAATTTTTAAAAACTTTTTGACTTGGCCGGGTGCGGTGGCTCAAGCCTGTAATCCCAGCACTTTGGGAGGCCGAGGCGGGTGGATCACGAGGTCAAGAGATCGAGACCATCCTGGTCAA